TCTCAAACTCCTCATTCTCCCACGTCACCTTGTATCCCAGCTTCACGACCTTACCCAAAGGCACAATCAGCTGTGTGTCAAAATCAGTAACCAGAGTCCCAGTCGTCTGAACTTGACGGAGTGTTGCAACACCGGCTGCCAGCTCCACCTTAATTGGGACTGCTTTCTCAAACTCTGCCTTTGACTTTGCAGGACGGAGAATGTGAGTGGCTCCCCCATCCAGAAGGGCCCGTGAATGGCCAGTGCCTCGATTGACTGCGCACACCGTCACCGCCTTGATCGAGGGCCTCAAAGATTTCAAAAGTTGCACCGCTTCCTTCACCAACGCCTCTGCTGGCGCTGGCTCTGAGTCCGTCGGAGGATGAAACAAGCCGGTAGCCGAGGAAGACGACCCATGCCCTTCTGCTGGCTTGCTGTCACCTTCCTTTCCTTTCCTCTCTTCCACATTCCCCTTTTTCACAAGCGGAACCTCCTTCACTGGGCACTCAGATCTCATGTGTTGAGTGGAGCCGCAATTCCAGCATCTTCCAACCTTCGAGACACCCTTCCACTCATGCGGAAAGCTGCACTTCTGGCCCTTCTTACAGCCTGTCTCTGACAAGAAGTATCGGCAAACAGGTTTCTCTCCGGGATTGGTCTTGGCTTCGCTCTTTGCCCCCTTTGAGTCATGCTTGCCACCTTTCGACTCCTTGCCATCTCGAGCTTCCTTGGCATCCACGTTCTCCTTAACCTTCTCTTTATGGTCTTTCTTCACCGCCTCCTCTTTCACAGGGACGTGTTCGCCGTCCAAAGCCTTGACCTTCACCGTCTCTTTGATTGGCAACGATGACCCGCCATGAAAGACAGCTTCTCCTTCCGCTAGCAAGGACTCAGAGAACTGCTGGATGCTTCTCTCATTTGGAGCTGTGTCCACACGCAAAGCCGCCCTCGTGATCTGCAGACGGAATGCCACTTGTGACGAATGGCGTGCCAAGGCCGCTGCAAAACGATCGAGGGTGGACAACAGCAACACCGGGTCTGGCGGCTGAATCCCAAGCTCCTGCACCCGAGTCAGCCACCTTCTCCATGACCTCAATGCCAGCATCCACTCACTCAAAGGCGAAGGGACCTTCTGATCCACCAACTGTTTCAACAGGGTGGTGCGTTCGCCTAGACCTCCGGGTTGGTAAACTCGAAGCACCTTGAACATGATGCCAATTGAACTGACCTCCCGTTGTGCGACCAGCTCAGATCTCAAAGACTCCGGTAATGCCTTCAGCAGCGCCACCGATCCTCTCTGCTCAATCCTCAGCCACGGTGGTACCTGGAATGCAGGTGGAGAGACAGGAACCAACCTCAGCCTCTCCATGGGCTCCGACTCCAACCACACACGATATAGAGCGCCCGCAACCCTCAGCACCTCGTCCCACCACAGCGAAGAGCTAGAGCTCATATCTCGAAGAAACGGAGCAATGGTCGTGATCCAGTCCCCAGCAACCAATGGCCCAACCTCAGACTCCGACAACTCTGGTAGAGCAGGAAGATCCACGGCTCGAATAGATTCTTGCTGCGCCATCAATCCTCCTAGCCACGCAGGGATTTGACCAAAACCCCCAGGCGCCGCTCCAGGCGCTGGTGGGCCACCAGGGAAACCCCCTGGGAAACCACCTCCATTAGGATGCCCTCCAGGAAATCCACCACCTCCGCCGGGATGCCCTCCAGGAAATCCACCACCTCCGCCGGGATGCCCTCCTGGAAAACCACCACCTCCGCCGGGATGCCCTCCAGGAAATCCACCACCTCCGCCGGGATGCCCTCCTGGAAAACCACTAGGAAGCCCTCCTGGAATTCCACCTGAATGTCCTCCAAGAAACCCACCTCCTGAAAGACCTCCATATCCGCTCGCGCTTCCAGCACCCCTTTGACTGTCATTTCCACCCGAAGTTACCCCTTGTCCACCATCTCCTTGGCAAAGAAGTTCACCCGGGTGTACTCTAGAATCACCTGGAACAGAAGCACCTCCTGAACCCTCGCCTGGTTGCCCCGGTTGAAGACAAGAACCACCTTGAGCATCAACAGGAAGTGGACCTTGAACTGCACTAGGTTCACCACCCGTCGCACCCTTTTCTTCTCGGGCACCCACCACAGGAGCCCTTCCAGACCTCTCCGTTGGAAGACCTGACCCAGTAGGACCATTCCAAGTCCGGCCAAACTCCATCGTTCCATGGCCCTGACCAGTGCTCACCTGCCCAGCACCCGAGACCATGTTGAACAGCTCCATCAAGCTACCTTTTGCCATAGAGCCACACCCACCAAGGAACCCTGCATCTTGACGTGGAAAAAGGCCACTACCAGAATGCTCCACAGGCATTCCCAGGTTTCCCAACATTCCCCTCTCTTTTGGGGATGGCATCGAACCCATTGAGGCCTTCAGAGCTTCCATCACCGCACCCATCACATTTCTCTCATGCCCCATCCCTTCACCAAGGACACTCCCAAACCAGGACTGTTGCTGACCAAAACCTCCGGGCTGTGGTCCCCACGCGCCATGATGAGCCGCAAAAGCTTCCCTCTCAGACCATAAACGGGCGTTTTCTTGCAACAGACTTTGCATCATAGTTCGGAAGACTTCGGGGGGATCCCTAGGAGGACTCATAGAGGACACTTGTGGATGCTGTACTTCTTGACTTTCAGGCGGTAAATGGGCTGGGCGACATGCCCTCAAAATGGCTTCGTCTCTCGCTGCCTCGCTCCAAAAAGGGTTCACCTGTGGCCCCAAAGAAGTCGGTGGCCCTTGCGGCCTGACCAAGGCACCGTGCTCTGGCTGTATGTCTTCCAGAGCTTTCTGTCCAGAATCTGGTGTTCTTTCGCTAGTGTTCTCCGACATGGCACCAAGGATCAAAAGTCGCGTCTAGTTGGGCTCATAACCCACCGAATGAGCGATCAAGCTCGCACTTCTTTCTTCGATCAAGAAAAGGGCTGTTGAACGTTCAAATGTACACAACTTCACATCAACTGCTTGAAACGCCTCAAGCTAAACGAAATTGGGGATTCCGCTATTATAATATATATTTTTTTGTGGAACGCACTGTGCCAGAGTATGTTAGCTTCTTGAGTCTCACAAGGACGCAGCTAGTCCTTTGAAGGGTGCACTCAGACGTGCACCACGAGCATCCCAAAAGGAGACCCCCAGAGGTTGGTGGGGGTGTGATAAGCAGCAGCTAGAGGACTGGATTGAGTTTCCTGATTTGTGCAACTGTGCAACCCTGGAAAAGGTCAATCAAATCAATGATGTACCCAGTTGTTAGTGTCGAACAAGCGAATCCATCCTCTCTAAAGGGAATGGTTCGAGAGTGGAGGCGTGGATTCTGTGGACCATTTGAGCAAGAATACCATCGGTTGAACTACCAGTTAAGGTGGGTTAGCTGGACATGGCTGGACTTCAACAGCAGCAACATGGCAGAAGGTGTTCATCACATCCTGTTGGGGGTTAGGATTGGACCATGGCTTCCTGTATTGCCCCCATCACAGTAGACTATTGGCTTTCACTGGCAACTCCGAGACTCACTGTATTCATGTGCTACGCCCGGTCGCACCTCTCCAAGTGGCGGTTTCCGGAGGCCATTCGCTGAGGCCATTCGGCCATTCGGGTCCATTCTTTTCCCAAGTCAGAACCCCCGGCACCATGCCGCTCCCTTCGAATCCGTGCCGCCCTTCCTCGGGTTTTTCGGGCAGGTCGAGGATCGGCCGCCGATCAAAGGCCCTGCAGGTGAGAGGGCCGTTTTTGCGTCGGCGTCGTCCTCCGTAGTGAGGGAGATGGACCCACTTGGGCCATTTCGAGACAGGTACACTCCCTGGAACCGTAAGGAAGACCATGAAATCCACGACAAACAGGTGGTGAACTCCACTTCCATGTTAGTTTTCGGAAGTGTATAGTTCAAGCGTCAAGGACGCCTGGTGCGGGGGAAGAGTCTCTCATAGGTTGGAGCATCATCACTAGCAAGACTGGCCATCCATGTTGTTACACGTATGCATTGTGGGGGGATCCACTGTTACAGGGAATTGGATATACCCAATGAATGAAATACTTACTTGCATTTACTCCATTTATGATTCATCCATGTAGGTAACTATCCCATACATGGATTATTTTGCGGTGATCATTTACCCTTATGACGCCGGGCATACTTTGAAGAGATAGGGACGTGCAAAGTAGTGTTAATGTGGGGATACTGATACTGAAACCCTGCGGAAGGGGGCGGGACAATTACACATTTTTATCCTGACCGTCAGTCAAAGGGGCCACAAATTGCGACAAGAAGGCTGTGCATGGCCTGAACCACTGGCCTGGCCAGGATTCCAGTGTTGGACAGCAAGATGTGCTTACTCCTCTTGGACGTTCCCAGTCTGTGAGAAAAGCTGAAATGAGATGTCTGGCTCCAAAGGTTTCACTTCCGTTCCATCCATGCAACCGCCTCCTTCAGCAGGTACCTTGCAGGATCTGGGCCTTGATGGGGACCCGAAGGCGGCTGAAGTCGTACCGAAAAACAACACGAGTCGGCCACAAGCCGCGAAGACCCTCACACAGACCCTGGGGATGTCACATGGTGCTGCTGGTGCGTGGTGGTGGGTGGGCGGGTGGCTCCCCCACGGCCGAGTGGACATCGCCCTTTGGACGCTGGCCAGTTAGCACGGGGAGGAAAAGAGGGATCTTCTTCATGTCAGGGTTTGGAATGGGCAGCCAGTCTCAGACCAGCCATGGGCCATGCATGTGGTTTTTGCCTATACATTGTTGTTTTGTGTTGTTTTGTTTTTAAGGAGGTTGGGGTGTGCAAAGCAAGCGGTCTTTTCCACCTGCTCAGCTTGAGCCAAACCGTTTGGTTGGCGAAGTTCATCAACACAGCTCGAATCGAAGTGCTCGATCGAAAGCGAAAATGCTCATGAGGTGCATGGACTGTCTGCCACACTCCCCCTGCAGTGCGTCACTGCATTCCTATGGCCAAAAGACCTTTTCGGTCAGCCTAGTTCGTCAGAAGCTCATAGCTTCCATCAGAATCCCACTCTTCATTGATGGGCATGGGACCCAAACTACTTCGGGCCGCGGGCCTGTTGCCCTCACTTCGAGCCGCGGGCCTGGAGGCCTCACTTGGTCGTCCAGCGCCGGCAGGGCGCGAGCTCCGAGCCACAGGCATTTGAATGCCCAACCATTGAGGCGTCGCTTCATCCGGCAAGTTGGGATGCCGGGCAAGCAGCAAACCTTCGGAATGGAGCGAGAGGATCCAATCCGACCGCTCTTCCTCAAGAGGAACCTGCATGTTGGGTGGCGCAGGCCTCTCTCCTCGATTCTCCTGTCCCCTCATTCGGCCAAGGTAGCCGAGAGTGAGAGGTGCTTCCATAGCATCCATGCCGCGAGTCGATGCCGTCATCGTCGAGGACAAGGTGCTCGTTGGTGTTCCTGTGGAGCTATCTGTTGAGCCTCTTCGAACCCTCCTGATCCCTCTCAGCAGCTCATCTTCTGGTCGAACCGGCGGAGGCCCCGATGACGCACTGACCTGCGAGGTCGAAAGCGACTGTCCAGGTGGCGTCGGTGTCGAGGAGCTTCCCGTCGTCTGGCCAGCAGGGGTTGAAGAGCTCGTTTGTGAATCCAAGGTGGCATGTTCAGGCAGCGGAGGTTGAGGTGGGTTGTCACGGAAAAAACTGTAGCCCACCCACTGCTCCTCTGTCGGAACCATCGGCCTGTCGGTGGCGGCCATCGTGAACGTTTTGGAGGACCACAAGCTGCACCTTGAAGGAGAGCAGGTCCTTTGCGGTGATTCGCAAACTGGGCTGAAGATTTTGGTTGCGCCTGATGGACCATGGCGCACGAGGCATCTGAGGCTGAGAGCCTATGTGGTGAAGGAGCGTATCCAGCAGCAGTGTTGGCGCACCTTGCATGTTCCTGGCACTGAACTGCCATCGGATTTGCTGACGAAGCCGATCGTGAACCCGGCTTCATGGCAGAAGTTTTTCCATTTTTTAGGAGCACGTGTGTCTTCAGGGATTGGGCAGAAAGACGAACACCAGTCAGTTTGTTCTAGGCTCCAGGCGGTTGTAGCTGGAATATTAGGAATGGCTGTTTGGAATCCAATCCATGAAGCGCACAAGATTGCACGCTGTTTGACCATCACAGCACTTGTAGCATACCTGGCCTCGAAAGCACAGGACCTCAAGAAGATCATTGGACACCTTCCGGCAGAATCCCAGGCTGAGGCGCCACGGGGACGGGATTCGGTCGAAACAAGATCGGTGAGGGAAGATGAACCCACCGCACTCGGAGGGGAAGAAAACACAAGATCGGTGAGGGAAGATGAACCCACCGCTGGGATGGGGGGACGGGCGGGCGACATTAGCCTAAGAGGCTCCCGTGCGGCCGCGTTCGAACCTCGCTGCCATGGACATGGTGTGCGCCTTGCTGCCATGCGCGCTGAGCCCAGCACTGAGTCCGGCACATGGACGGTGGCTGGACCTCATGAGTGGCCGCAATTCAGACTTCCTCCACAAGGACGAGATCGATGGGGGCGGCTGCGCGATGGCTGGTGGGTTCGACATCATGTCAAACCAAGAAAAAGGCCATTTCATCCTGTACATCGGCAGACGCCATTCGACGCGGCTCAAATCCGCAGTGGACGGGTTACTGTGGTAATCACCACTCCATCAACATAGCCCATCAACTCTGATTCAGCGCTGGAGAGGGTGGCGAACGGCTGCTGCCGACTTTCCCATTGAACCGGGGCTCCATTGTAAGTGACCAGCAACCCCTGTTGACCTCTTCCACCTTGGGGACCGTGAGAAGCATCCGAAAAAACCCGAACACTGGGGAGCTTGGTCGCCTCGGACTCAATGGATGGAGCCTCAAACACCTGTTGGGTGTAGCACAGCTCATAGTCCACGGTGGAGTGCAAATATCCAAGCATGTGAGCTCCCCATTCCAAAACTTTTCCCGGAGCTTTCGTCACCAAGCGGCCCATGATGGAGACTCCATAGCTGAGGTCAGGCCTGGTTCGCCCGCTGAGCCAGAGCAATTCACCAACAAGAGCCTGGGCTTTGCGGACCTGTTCAATGGAGATGTTTTCCTCCAGTTCATCTTGTACGCCAAGGGGCAAAGGAGTTTGTCTCGACTTGATGCCTTCGTGGCGCGCAAGGAGATCTCGAGTGTAGGAGGTCTGGTTCAGGATGACCTCACCTGGGCGGCACTTGATCTCGAAGCCGCAAAACTTAAGGGACTTTTCTGACGATGCCCACTCCGGTTCTGAACAGCGCCAACGAGCCCTGATTCCATCAATCACTGCCTGAGCCAGTGGACTTGGAGCAGCAACCAGCATATCATCAACGTACACTGCCAAGAAGCCCTCCGACGTGTCGTCCTCAGGGATGCTGTTAGGCCAGACTTTGACAAGCTTCCAGAGGTTAGGCTCGGGCGTGGTGACCAATTGGTACTCGTGACCCTCAGCCTTGAACCGCAGCTGAGGGAGTTCTCTGTCGCGATAGTGCGACCAATTTGCCGGGGCATCGTTCAACCCGTAGACAGCGTGGGATATCTCCCAAAGTTCGGTGGGAGGACATATTCCAGCTTCGACGAGCACCCTCGGAGGGCGAGCAACGAGCAAACGTTCACGTTCGTCCGGCCGTGGTGCTAACAAGAACGCTGTCTTGATGTCCACCGTGCCAATTGACCAAGATCTTTGAGCTGCGCACCTCATCAAGCAACGCAGTGTGGTTCCATCTGCTCCTCCTGCATATAGCGAATATGGAGCTTGATCTTTTGACTTCATTTCACCTGCTGAGTTGTCCTGGTCCTCGTTGACCTTGGTGAGGTGGTTGCCACAGATTACCACCCATGCTCTGAGACGTCCATGAAGACTCTTGACCGTGGGAACAAGCATAGCTGGAGCGAGTTCCATAGTTGGGAACCTTGGATCAAGGCGCAACTTTTCTTCAGTAGTTGGCTTGATTGCCTGGGTCGATGAGACCAGTTGACCATATTCATCACGCAAGGGAGGCTTCCATTTTTCCAACTCCTTGCGGACCTGCTGTAGTGAGACCGTGTAGGTCTGGAGCACCGTGACTGGGACCTCAGTTGAACCAGCCATTGGAGCCAGAGAAGCCATCTTGTAGTTCTGCAAGGAGGAATGCTGAAACGACAATTGATCTTCAGCACCTCGGAGCAGCAATTCAACTTCACGAAGCCAGCTGCCATGAACGCTCCCAGCGTCTTCACCAACTGCAACTTCTCGAAGACCTTGACACCAGAGCTGCTTCAAAGCCAAGTGACGTTGTTGTTCAAGTTCATGCCACTGCTCTGCCTGTTGTCGTGAGCAGCACATAGGATCTTCCAGCTCCCCCGGAAGGTCAGGGTGTTGACATTGATCACCTTGATCATGAGTCTTGGGCGTGGAGCCTCCAACAACCTCCTCCGACTCCCCTTCATCCTCACATTGAAGTGCCAAGGAGCAGCCAAACTCGTCCAAAAAGGGCAAAGGATCCTCCCCCCCAGCTCGGCATGCAGCAAGAGCTGGGTCCGACTTATCATACAAGGCGCCCACGGCTCCAGCAAGAGGATGGTCAGGTAGAGGTGGTGGATGTTTCCCCACAATGCGGTGCTTGATTGATGGCACCTCCTGCAAATCCATGATCGCCTGGTCAGCCACCGGCGAAGGTTCCAAAGCCGTCCTCACATGCAGCAGCTGCCCTTTCTTGTCGCGGGCAATCCAACCATGAGACATGTATGGGCATGGTCCCAGGAGCTGCATGGTGCGGTAGGGCATGGAGAGTTGTCCAGCGCGATGCCAGCGTTTGGACTTAACCAAAACTGAAGCTCCATAGCGAAGCATTGGCGGGCTCGGCAGGCCCAATCTTTCAAGTTGTAGGCGCACACGGCCTTCTGCAGCATGGCGTAGGGCTGTTGGCCAGAGGGATTGAGGAAGTCCAGAATCATGTAAAAGAAGTCGAGTTCGGCGCTTGATCTGGTTCACTTCTCCCTCAATGCGGCCGTTGGCCTTCGAGTCATCGCCTGCAGTCAGAGTCAATCGAAGTTGACGTTGTTCACACCATTTTTGAATTGGGACTGAGGCAAAAGATCGTTCTCGATCTGTGTGGAGGCGGTACACTTGGATGCCCAGCATGCGGTACTTGGCATGTAGTCGAGAAAGGGCACGGACCAAAGACTCCACAGTTCTGTCTGGGATCACCTCAGCAAACGTGATATTTTGGTGTCCAGGAGCTTCTTGGGCCTCTTCAATCTGTGCCAACTCATTGAGCCGCTGAACTTCATCATCCGAGAGCATCTCTCGCTCTTCAGGATCACAAGGCAGGTCCTCAGTGTGCTTGACGTCGTCTGCAGTGTCATAGGGCTCGGCAACCTCGCCTGGAAGCTCTGAGACGATGGGCACGGCCACAGTAGAGATCAGTGCATACTTACAGGTCACTCCAGTGCCGAGGTCACGACCAGCAGGGAAGGGTCCACATAGATCCGCTGACATAGTGAACTTCGTTGCACTCCCCCCAAGTCTTTTGTGAGGTTTATCACAGCCCATCGCTTCACCGCAGATTCGGCAGTCAGCACGAAAGGGAATGTGCCCCTGTTTGATGTGTCGGTGCCAGGCTGCAAGGTCCATTTTGGACATGTTGTGGGTGTCACCACTTCGACTTTCCTCCTCCAAAACGCCAAGCAACCTCCGCAGCGATTCCTTGATTGCAGCCACAAGTCCCGGCGCCCAAGCGGCCCAAGACTTTGAAGTGCGAATGCGATCTGCCAGCTTGGTGGGTAGTGGACCATCATCACAACCTTCACCCTGGAGACCATGTAGTTCTTCGAAGGCCGGGAGGTTGGTGAGGACCGTCGTGGGCTTCTTTCGCTGATGACCCAACCGTCCTTGGTCGAAGGTGACCAGACGAAGTCCTGCAGTTCCAACCCAGGCCGTGATTTCCGGGAAGCACCAAAAAGATGCGCTTTGAGCTCCTTCTTGATCACTCAAGTATTCAGCTGGGTCACGTGGAGATTCCAGCAACATTCCAACATCCGTGGGAACACGACGGCATTCTTGAGCACGTAGCCAAAGACCAATGTGCTTCATGCAAAGTGCAGTGTCGCCGTGGACCAAGCGCTGCTCATCATCGTCCAAATCAGGAAGGCACCAACGATCTTCTCCTCGGCCACGTAGTCGTCGAGGGCCAGGAGCCTTATTTCGAAGGCGGCTTACAGTTCTGCATGGAGGACCTCCAATGATGGCAACAATGCGGCCAAGTGATGCCAGCTTCCACAAGTAACTCCAAACTGAAGGGTTGTGGAGGTTCAGGGCTGCATTGATCTCAGTGTCGATGCACAGCCATGAGTAGCGGCCTCCACCAACATCATTCCATTTCTTCGCATCAGCTCCACTGAAAAGGTGAACAATGACACCCTTTCCAGTCATGTGGGCCCGTCGCAACCTTCGATTCCAGGGCGGAGCTGTAGATTCTTGACTTTGACCAGCCATATGCTGGAGAACTGGAAGTGGTAGTTCAGGAAAATGCTTCTGCCACCAACTTCGATCTTCATCAGAGAGAGCCACCTCCCCCTGATCCTCCATCTCAAACTGCGCCAACATGTCCAGCGCAGGCTGTCGATGCATGATGGGGCATCCATTCCTCAGCCAACAAGGGATTGGTCCCAGAGTCGGGTGGTGGATGCTACATCCTGAACGTCGCCATTCCACCTTGAAGCCGCGCTCAACCAAGAGGCCCAGAGGAATGATCGGCTCAACTTCCGTCAGGGACAACAAGGTGCGATGCTTGGGGTGGCGATACAAAACTGTTGAGCCTTGTGCCAGCTCCACTTCAACTGGAAAAAGTTCAGCTCGTTCTTCAGGTCGAGCAACACGTAGGGCATGGGTGGCCCCACCGTCCAAAAGGGCAAACCCCTGAGTTCCAAACTCCTGAGGGTGAGCACTGATCTGCTTGATGCGCATCGTCTTCACGGACCGAAGCGTCTTGAGCAGCGTTGCAGCTTCTTGGATGAGGTCTGTGGCGATGTCATTCTTGGGCTTCTCCTCCAGCGTTGACTTGGCTGGAGAACCACCTCCCGAATCCCTCAATCCCCCTCCAGACACCGTCGTCGGCGACAAGGGCGATGGGCTCGAAGTCGATGTAGACCCAGGACTTCCCACTTCAACCTCCCTTTCTTTGGTCGGGCCTTCTTTTGAGCCCTCGGGCGCAACTCCTCGCAAGCGAGCTGCCTTCTTCACATCCTTGAAGTTCTTGGGTTGACGGTGCACACAATCCTTCGCCATGTGACCTCCCCAGAACAGTGGAAGCACCTGTGCTGTCGGTCCAAGCCCTCCCAGCTATGCCCATAGCCACAAGTGTCTCCTCGTTTACAGCCATGTTGGGTCCCCCAAAACTTGCATGGAGACCGAGGTTTTTCTTCTTGAGTGCCGGACTGCATCGCCTTCACCACCGGAGTCTTTTCATTTGTAGTGGGCGAGCTCGTCGTGTTGGCGGCACCCTTGGGGACTGCAGCAACCAAAGCCAGCTCTTCCAGCTCCGCCTGCAGGTACTCGCTGAGGTCCTTGATGGAGTTCATCTCCGGACGTTGATCAACCAACAATTCCTGGCGCACAGTTGAGACTCTGTACGCCACTTGATTGCCTCCCAGCTTGGCCAACGAGTCCATGATCTTGCCAAGGACATTCATGAGGATCAGCGGGTCTGGCAGCGTGACCTTAAGTTCTTCAGCTCGCTGCAACCATCGGCGCCATTGCCGCATCGTCGCCAGGAGCTCCGTGACGGAGTGACCCACCTTCACTTCGGTGAGGCTTTTGAGAAGCGTTGTGCGTTCAGCTCCTCCTCCAGGTTGAAATACTACAAACAACTTGAACAGGATGCTCACAGTTGTGACGTGGCGAGAGGAGATGACATCTCTTCTCAATTGTTCGGGCAGGATGCCCAGCAGCAATGACACTCCCCGCTGCTCCACTCTCTGGTACAAGGGGTCCACAGTGACATCTTTTGGCCGCAGGCGCAACCTTTCCAAGGGCGTGGCCACCAGCCACTGTTCATATAGTTCACGAGCGGCAGAAAGGCATCCATCCCACCAAAACTGTGAGGTAGAGGACAAGTCCGCCATCAACGGATAGGCCACAGTCAGCCAATCCCCAAACTGCAATGCCGCGCCTTCGGATGAAGGTAGTGGAAGGGCAGGAAGATCCAAAGCCCTGACGGTCTCTGGAACGACCGGAGCCAGCGGGGTTCGAGCCTCCCCATGAGGTTGTCCACCATGAAGGCCTGGGGGAGGATCTGGTCCTGACCCGGGAGGTCCACCTGCACCTGAGGGATCACCATGTGGTAGCCCAGGATGTGTTGCAGTTCCACGACCATCAACTCCACCACTGGCAACGGAGGCATACGACGATGCATCACCACCACCTGCTCCATCAGTTATGCGTTTGACTTCACGAGCGAACTTCTCCTCCGCCTCTTTGAGGATCTGGGTGCGAAGTTTCTCAACATCCCCAGGTCCTGGACTTCCATTGGTAGCCCGAGCACCTGCACTTTCCGCCATTCTCACATGACCTTCACCTCGTGCAGCTTGTTGAATTGAAGTGGTCCAGAAGGGGTTCACAGTGGCAAGGGGGCCCTGTGGCGTGCGAAATGGTTCAAGCACCCTGGGTTTCACCTCCTCCCGCTCTACCTGCCTTGTGCTTGCAGGCGTGCCCATTCTTGGATCACCGTGTGGAGCTCCAGGTTGATGTGGAGTTCCAGCCAAAGAACCTTGCCCACCAAAGAATCCGCCTCCTGGTGGATGAGGTAGTCCCGAACCTGGTCCTTGAGGTAGTTCAGAACCTCGAAGAAGAGGATCTAACAGTCCCGGAGTCGGCGAAGGTGGCACATGGTGGCCTAAAGCCTGTTGCAACAACTCGAACGACTGGCGTGCTGCTTCTTGCAATCCGCCCAGACCCAAGGCGTTAGCCCGAGGATCATGCAAGGCGCTCATGAGGCCTCCAGCCCCGGCCAGCTGGCCAGCTGATGCATCGTGATGCCCTCCATGATGTCCAGGTTGAGGTGCCAAACTTCCCTCTCTTCTTCTTCCTTGAGATTCATTTCCCTCAGCCGTAGGGTGCATAGCCAAGCGCCGGACAGCAAGATCATCTTCTGCAGGTAGTGACGAGGCCCGAGCTGCTCGTTGCTCTTTGAGCAACCGGTCCAACTTTTGATCTGCTGTCTCTTCAAGCGGTGGCCTTCTTCGATCTTCTCGATGTGCACGTCGAGGCTCCTGCGCTTCAGCGGCAGCAGCTGGCTCTCGTGAGCCCTGTCGGCGCCGGCGCTGGAGGGTGGCCATTGCGGCCAACAACCACTCTGCTCGCTCAGCAGCAGTGGGTGGACTTCGAAAACACCTAGCACCTTGGGCTCATAACCTAAGGAGGTTGGGGTGTGCAAAGCAAGCGGTCTTTTCCACCTGCTCAGCTTGAGCCAAACCGTTTGGTTGGCGAAGTTCATCAACACAGCTCGAATCGAAGTGCTCGATCGAAAGCGAAAATGCTCATGAGGTGCATGGACTGTCTGCCACAGTTTTAATCTTTTAGTCGTCAATGTAGGCATATATTCCATATTATTCGATACTGGAGTGTTTGGGAGTGTTGAGGGGACGAACATGGTGGGTGTTGCTTGCATGAAGTCCAAAGGCCCATTCGAAGGTAGGAATCGACTCTTGAGGGATGGAAACATGTGTGGAACGTATCCCAAAGCTGCCATACAAGTAAAGTATAAATGTCACCTGCATTTCTAACCAGCCAAACGTGGGTCATAGTTGCATACCTGGAGCCTTTTGGGGATTGAATCTGCAGGGGAACTCACTACAGATCTCATGTTCCCTTTGGTGAAAACATGAGGCACATAGTTTTGACATGTTTTATATAACCATGACCATCGCTCACATAGTCTGGTTATGTTCTGTTTTTTAGCGGCATGTGAATCGTCACTATACCATGTCACTGGTGGTATCATCCTTGGGAGAGACTCAACGTTGGCTTTTGGCTTGTCAGACATGCAGAGATGCGCACAAAGATGCACCTGATTTAGATAGATTTAGCGTAACATCTTCAATTACCTTTACCTGCTGCTACACAATATCTCAGAAAGTGCTACACTAAACAAAGATATACCAAGCACCTTGTACCTCACTACCCCAAAAGGTACCTCACAAGCAAGGCCAGGAATCACTTGAACGCCAGGACTTCCAGAAAGCCCGCCCAGACGCGCAAAAACACGTGCGCCGATGTCAACACTCCAGGATGTCGGCCTTCCTGTCGTGACGGTGGTGGTTTTGTCCCCTGTGGCCATCCTCTGCTTTAGATACGGTGTTCCCATCGAGCTCATCGTTTTCGGCTTGCTGTGTGCCGGCTATAAGGCACCCAAGTGGTGCACGCGCGGCCAAAAGAAGTCGCCCCCGGTGCATGACTCGCCCCCGGTGCATGATGAGCCTGAGGTAGAGGAATTGAAACAGAAGAAGAGTTTCCAATCGTGGAGGCCATGGAAATCGAAGCGAGACACAGAGGAGAAAGGTTGGAGAGAGGGCAAAGCCCGGGAAAAGCCGAGCGGAAAACAGGAGGCGAAGGGTGGAGCTAGACCGAAAAGCGGTGCTGCGCATTTAAAGAACAACGCCTCACAGACACAATGGCGGTCCATCATCAATAAATTCACGCCGGAGAAGCTTCTTGTCTGCAAATGGTACAAATGGTATTGATTACCCCAATTCTTGCGAACATGTCAACAGGCCAGACATCCTGCATTTGCCCATGCCCAGAATTCCTCTCAGTGGGACCTGGTTTGCAGGACAAACCATCCTGTCCTGTTCTTTCTTCACTTACCTTCCCATAAGTCCCCCCGGTGGAAGAGCTGATTCAGCTTCGCCCAAGGAGTTTACTCAAGTACGTGCAGGAGGGTCTAAACAATCACACGAAAACGCTATCAAAACGAACATGCCACAATTTACGTGACGAAAGATTGAGACTTAGATCAGCTTCGAGCAGAAGAGAAACCGTGCTCTATATATGCTGCATACTATTCAATAAACTTGAATAAGGCTGGTTCATAGAACCCTACAAAAGAATATATGCATTACGGTACGGACGGTTTTTATTTGCAGACGAACTCTTCATAGACACTTCAACCATAGTGGCTCGAAGCGTGGCCGATGCTTCGCACAATTTTCCCAGGTTTGAGAAGCTTTGTGGGCAGTTGCTTCAAACTCTTCCAACTGAAGGCACCGACGGTGAGTTCTCCAAAATTCTGGAAGAGCTCCTGTCGATGATCTTCGATGCTTGCAGTCGGCAGCACCAGTACACCGAAATGCACCTTGTTTAGATCCGAGAAACGGGTTTCTGTCCCAACACCTCCGTGAGACTGGCACAATGTACATGATGCAGACATAGAACCCTGGACCCAACCACCCCAATGTAGGTATACCTACCAAGGAAAAGTGGGTAACATGTTAAACCAGAGTGGTTTCCCCACTAAACAGTCGAACACGTGAACAAGAAGGTGAACGGTTAAGCTTTTTTGTTCAGGGAGACTTAGGGAGTCAGTAGAACTTAGGGACTCGGTGTAACACTGAGTTCTACTGTGCAGGACTCAGGGGTCAATGTTCAGGTTCGTCGTGCCCACCATCAGGGGTCAGAGTGGATCACCGCATCCCACCATCCTTTCACATCCTTCCGCATCCTTCCGCATTCCCACTCACCACCCTTAGGAGGGTGGACCCTCCTTTCCCCCACTCACCATGATCATCCATGATCACTGATGGGAACAGGGTGGAACAGGTGGAGATCATTCACTTCATCCTTTCGACCCGAAAACGGAATCAGAGGTTGCTGGCAGCCTCCGGACCTGCTCCAGCCGCCCCGAGCCACGCCACCGGTGGCCATCGATTCGATCCGCGAGGTACACGGATCTTTGCCAAAAGCTCTTGGATTTCGTCGCGCAGCAGCGACCCAATCTGGATGGACGTGCGTGCGTATGGGGTCGATGTCAACACATCTTCCAGACCATCGTGTTGAAACCCCCTGAGATCCCGGCCGAGCTGCCTGAAGATGACGCTGGGCTGCCTGCACCGGGACCCGAACGGCCGGGTGGAACAGCCACCGAAACGTCGACTGGACGGTACCGGTGGATGTTCGGGGCACCGTCACCTCCTTCCGTTCGGAACCTGCACCCCGTCGAACGTGACTCTTGGAAAATCCCTAAGGACTTGTGGTACAGCGGACTCAGTGAAAAAAAGGTCTTCATCGTTTTTGAGTTCAGTGTGAGTTCATCATTTGATTTAACTCTCGATTTAACTGGGGGGTCTTTGGTGAAAACAACGATGAGATGGTGACCGGTGCCGTTTGTTTTTTGTGTCGGTGACTTCGTCAGGTTTCTGGGAACGACCACCTGACTTCTTGCTCCCGCGTTTGAGACCCCCTAGGAGCCCTGAAAACCAGGAAAACGGAGTCAAATCCAGAGGTCGCTTTTTTCAAAGAGGAGACGTACTCCAATCAGAAGCGCCTCGCCTCCTTTTTTTGCCAACAGATTTATACTATCATATTCTCTCCAAGCTCCAAAAGGGAATCCAGGATAGTGTCTATGTCCGGTGTGTCGCTTTCCATTAGGAGTACATGGATCGCAAAGCCAAGATCAAAGAGAAGATGGTTGGCATGGTGAAGTTTGGAGGTGGATTGGTTTCACGGGGCTTAGTGCCTCCAGAAGGGGTGATGACGTGGATTCATACACTTTTGAGCGAGAAGACCGAAGAAGTCTTTTGCACAGAGGAAGAGGAGACAGCTGTGGAAACTGAGAAGGATGTGGAGCAACGTGAAGTACAGCTGGAAGTGCTTTGTGCCATTCTAGCTAGTCATTTGGCTTAAGCAGAAGTTGTTGTTTCAGCTGTTGTCAGTGGCTCTCAGTGGCTCAAAAACCCCTCCGATGAACAGACCTGCCTGGTGGCCCCGGGTCATCCGAGCTGGTCGGCTTCGGGACCGAGCTTGTGAGCCATCCGATGAACGGATGTTCCATCCCCAAAAATTCATCTCCATCTTACCCAGGCACTCCATATGCCGGGGTGGTTGACTGGGGGGTCAATGGGGCGGCATATATGGCAGTCCCATGGAGTGCCTGGGTTTTTCTTTGCGTGTTGTATTTGAGCCAACAAAATACCTCAAATGAAGAGGCTACTAAAGAGTTTCTAAGACTTTGGAACCAGATTCTCCATCCTTTGGAAGCAGATGTTTTTTGGATTCTTCAGAACTTGCAGCGGCTTGCAAGGTATGGGCTCTTCATTGTCAGACCCCACCGTTTGGAATGAGGACAATCGCATGGTCATTGAAAATGTCTTTGAGCAACTGGAGACTCTAGCCATCGATGCAGAACACTTGTCCCTGAGGATTAGATGTTTGATTCTCGGATGTGATTTGAATCACTTTTGCTTGATGGAAGATCACGGGTGGGTGCGCTCGTCCATCCCCAGTCGAAGCACCGGTCGATGCGGTAGATTCAGCTCTGCTTTCCCGAGCTGCTCAGTGGTGCTGGGCACGTCTTTCTTCCTAAAAGGGTGGAACCTCCGGATGGACTAGTGGGATGTTGATGTCAGCCACTGTTGGTGCACCACCAATGTGTGCCATGTCGATCTTGTTTTTGGGCAAAGTAGCGAACCTGAAAATGGCCCCTTGTTCATCCTTCGAACCATGCAATGGTCAGAGAGTCCATGTGTTTCTGTGCGTGTCAGTCCGTGCAGGGCTCGCGCGGAGTGCTGATTCAGAGCCAAAGACAAGGCAACGGGTCCCATGGATTCCCCAATCATTGGCTTGGATATGCTTGGATTAGAATTCCTAACAAGGCAGCCAAAAGAACAACATTGTTAGATGATGGGCAAAGAGATGCACGTAACGCCTCCATCTAGCCAACAAGACTGTCCCAGATAAGAGAAGCTTCTGGAGCATACCCTTCTGCTGTCCTCGTTAAGACTGGAGTATGCCCTGCCGAACGGTGGATTCTTCAACTCGATCCCAGACACGAGGAGACAGACCCCAGACAGACCCCAGACACCATCACCCCAAAATACCCCAAAGTAATTGATAAGTCAATCAATTCCTGGCCCACATCCTGAGAAGGTACACCCTCCAAACCTACCCCAACCATCCACCCTACACGAAGGTATATAGTTGGAACCCTCGAAAAGTCTAGAAATACATGCCAGTCCCCAGACTGCTCATGTCCCAGACTCACATCGTATGAACGTCTTCTTCCGCACCCCGTGACTTCGCGCGATGATTCAGGATACGAGATGTGCTCGACTTGCGGATGGCGGAATGGAAGGAAAAGCGTGGCAAGCTCAAGCCCACCTGTTTGCACAAGCAACTTGCAGCGAAAGCTGGGGGTAGCTATCAGACTGGGTTCAGGGGATGAGGAGGGCTTGCTGGCGGTGGAAAATTGTTTTCCCTGGACAAATGAGCCAAGCTGGCAAGCCTTTCTGAGATGCTTTGAGTGCCAGCCATATTAAAAGCTAATTCTGGGTTTTGTCGGGAGAATCGTCTCCTGAATTAGCTTTCAAGGTGACCACGCATTGGAATGCATTTGGGGTGCATTTCTACCATGGTTTCCAGCATTTTCCAGCATTGTGGCCGTCCGAAATGTTCACTGCTAAAGGCGGCGAGAGTTCCGTTCCTCACGTTTCCTCACCCTCTTGGCTCCACCCTCTTGGAGGCGTCCTTGGAATCCAAGCGGCACGAATTCTGCTGTGCATTTGAGACGTTTCACGGCCTATGGGTGAATCACCGTTCTGGATGTGTTTCCTGGTTCCTGGAATCCATTGCGAGGGCCCCTCGGCCCGTCGTGGTCTTGTTCGGTGCGGTTCCAGGTACTTGGTGCGTTCCTTCGCTTCGCAGCAAAACCTGAATCACCACTACCAACAGCAGCACTACCACTTAAGACTCAAAGCCTTCCAAACAAATCGACATCTTCACCACTCTCGGGTTCGAAGAAGTGCCCCGCCCCGCGGTCAAATATATGCGCACGTGCACCTATAAAAATCCTCTTCTATCCGCGGAAGACGCCGTCCACGTCTTCCGTCCTCTTCGCGATGGCGGCAGCGAAAAGGCAGAAGGAGGAGGAGCGTTTGGAGACCAACCTCAGGAGCGAAGCACCCGAGTTCGTGCCCGGCTCCAAGGCGACGAGACGGCCGGCAACGGGGCGAACCAGACGGATCTGGAACAGAAACAAGACGGCCCAACAAGCTATAGACCGAAGGATTCATATCATGGCCCTGTTGTTACATGGTTCTCTCAAGCAAGTTCTATAAGAGGTTTAGAGCGAACATGAGTGAACAGTTAACATATAGAATCCTATACGATCCTGTAAGCAGCCTCAAACCACAGGAGCTCCCGAACGTCCATTTTTTTGTCTATCGGTATGTCCATGAATACCGCTTTACCTGCGGTGTCAGGTGGTGTTAACTTCTAAGTCAGTAGCTCATCACAATCCCTAGTGCCAGAGGGGTTCTAACGACCGAACCTGAGGATCTGGGCCAGGAGCCCAAACGGGAATGTTCCAATTCTTGCCCCCCCGCGTCAGTGGGTCAGACCGTCCAAGGTCCCACAGACCGTCCAAGGTACGTCGATGAAGTCACTCCAAGCAGAAAAAAACACATTCTCATAATAAGAATGTCCACTCTGAAATGGGTAGCGGGTAAAGGTTAACACTGGTACCTTCAAATCTGTTCAATGATGTGGAGTATACACATTCAAAAGAACAAGCCGGCCCACCATTTTTGGACCATTCAACCATTGTTCGAACGCTTCTCTTTTCTCCCCCGGTCCCTTCCAAACACACCAAAAAAGGAAGGACACCCGGTGCCCTCCACCGACCGACCGGTGCTCAAAATCCTCGACTCGTCTCGCAGGGTGGGAGCCTATGGAGTTCCGACCGACTGTTGGAGGGGACACTTAGCTCCTTTTGATTGGGCTAAACAACATATGAAACAAAAACAGAGAGCATGATGAGCATGGCAGCATGGTGTTGTGTTCTTTCAATTTGGCTTGTTCAAGCCTATTTTGTTGCGGAACTATATCGGGGTCTAGAACTATTATACATTATTATTGTACTATATACTGTATATGATGGTGTCATATGGTTCCCTCAAATTTGGAAGAATTTCGACCTTTTTGTCCCGCTTCCTGTGCGGCTGGACGATCCCAGGAAACCTTGGATGGATCCGCAACTTTTGGCTTCTTGGACGACCCAAAAGCACACCGGGGCAGCGGAGCGCTGCCCCAGTTGGAAGGTGTTTTCACCGGTCAACCGTCGTGGTTCCTTCCCATGTGTGGGCCTGGAGGAGTGTGGGCAAGGCAAAAGGGGTAGGTCAAATGGATTTGAGGAAAGAACTGAGGGAAAAAGGAGATACGGAGGTAGATGTTGAAGCATCAGTCAGTGAATTCTGAATCGCTGTATAACGGTGAGATACTTAGTAGAGTTTTTTCCGAGAATCTTCCTGGCAACCCGACTATTTTGCAAGGAGCTTCAGCTGTCGCAATTGCGATCTTCGGAGATTCCCCATTTTTGAGCTTATAATGTTGTTTCTTCTCCTCACATGCGACCCCAAGTTGTCTCGATCCGCCAATCCGCCTACTTCGTCGCTGTTCGTCTAAGTCGCCCGGCACTAGGCCTCCTTGCAAATGGTGGACCACCATCTGGAAGTCATCGAAGATCGCGAGGCCAAACTACAACGGCTTAAAGCCTTGATCCAGGCACCCGCCGTTCTCGGGCGGAGTTCGTCGATTCGATGGGGAGGCTGGATTCAATGGGATGCGTGAATGGTAGCTGGAACAACCTGGTTTCATGGGGTGGATTATCACGTTGGACCCGAGGGACCCGAGACCTCCAAGAGCAATGCCAAGAGCACCTAGTAGCTTGTAGCTGCTTGTTCCGTTCGTAGCGGCCTCCAACCTACTTGCGATGGCCACCACCCAATAGAGTCCTTGTTACTAGTAGCTTCTTGTTTAGGAACCAACTCAGTCGAAAGACTTTGGGAGTTGGAGGAAGCTTGAATCTGATGGCCCTCCCTGAATAGTGGATATCCGGGGATTGATTTCCGTGACTTGTGACATTTGCCAGAAATATATAGGTGTTCTTTCGGGAATCCCTTTTCAACATCTTGGAGTTCATTGCCTCTTTGAGTTCAGTGCAGGCAAAGAGCTGCAGAGTCTTCTGCGATGTTCGGTCGAGATTCAGTTTCCACAATCACGGCCAAACTGAAGCCAACTGGTATGTGGAAAGTCCGGATCACAGAATACCCCTGTGCTATGAACAAGGCATTGGTGTGTGTGTATGTATGTATGTATTTTGCATATTCCTTTCATCGTAAAAAACTCCCTGTAATAATCAGCACGGCGCTGTGGAGAACGCATGGCCATGCATGGCCCTTCCAGAAAGACACTTTTCCCCTACAAACAAACCTTTTTTTTTTGTACATCACCCGTCAGACTACCATGTTTTCAGGGTGAGTCCCCAATCTAGCGGTTTGCCTATTTGGGTCATGTCGATGCCATCCCCAAAAAATAACACACAGTACAGTCATGTACAGTCCGACGAAGACATCACATGGTTACGTGGATGGCATGATCCCTTGGGGAAGACTACATTCCTCTTTTTTACAAACAGGGGGTGTTCCACGTAACCATGTGATGTGTTCGTTTACCTCGTGAGACGTTAGACGTGCCAGACTTCCGACGTGTCGTGTCATACCTCCGCCGCCTCCTGGTCAGGTCTATCACCTGATTCAGGAGAAGCAGATGGTGGTCGTCGCCAATACGATCAATGTCCGAAGAATACTGGACATGATCTCGGGGACTTTTGCTGGCTCTGACTATCGGTGCTTAGATCAAAATACGCCAGAAGCGATCCGTATGCAGAGTTTGAGAAGCTTTGCGCTGGGCCAGACTTCAATGTTGTTGATGACGACAGATGTCTCTGCTCGGAAGGATTTCGACTTTGGGAAGGCGGCATCTGTGCTAATCAACTTTGATTTCCCCATGACCTTGCAGTTGCTTGTCCAGAGTTGACCCTCTCTGTCACCGTTTGCTTTACTTGATTCTACACTATAGACTATATATGGACCAAAGGTGACATTTGTATACCAGTACCTTCAAAGTGACCTCTTTGGAGTCTCTAAGTGGCGTCTTTAGGGTCTAAGTCTAAGTCTAAGTGACCTCATTCTGAGATCTCAAAATCAAAACGTCACTTTGAAGGTCCTGTATACTTATAACATATATATATATTATATATGTACGATATAATACACTATTTCAACTAGTTCTTATTGTTTTAAGAGTTTGGATGTGCCTGAGGCTGTACCTCTACCGCATCCAGAAGCGTGCAGACAGTGAGACCCACGTCTACACCTTCTTCTCGCCCCACGATGTGCGACATGCCAATTCGCTGGTCATTGTGCTCGAGGGCGCTGGACAGAAGGTCCCTGAAGCTCTCAGAAAGATGAAGGAGCAGGTGGCGGGGAGTCAATAAACCTTCACAGTCAGTAGAGATGCTTTAACATCAACAAAACTATCGAAACTGTGGGAGAGGTTGATCTCCTGGAAAGGTCATATCTACTCCCAGACACTCTATAAAGTATGGAATCGTAGGGTATTTTTACATTGACCGCTGAAGCCGACCCAATCTTGTCAAGTACGCCATACATGGAGACTGAGAGTGTTTGGGATTTTGTTCGATTTGGGGCGTCAGGGTCTTGGGGTGAAAGCATCCTCAGGTGAAAGCGGAGATCAAAAAGGAAGACAAGGGCCACCGGAAGGGCAAGCCAGATGGCGAAGAAGAGTCTGGAAGCAAAGGCTCCAGACGGCCAGACGGTCGAAATGACCGCAAGGACCACAAATGGGACGACAAAGCACCCCGAGACTCCCGAAGAACCAGCGGTGAGCTCAACCATCGCCGCCCGAAACAGCACGACGATCGGCCACCTGAGGGCGCCCGTCGGAAGGACGCCCGCTGGGAGGCTGAGTCGAAAGAGCACCTGAACCGTCGGGGGGGCGAGAGCGGCCTGAACCGTCGGTCGGGCGCCGCAGGCGGGTCGAGCGCGGGCAGAGGCTTTTCGGACACGTAGAGTCTGGAGGCCGAAACAGGCCGCTCGCGTGAGTCCGTGAGTCCGAAGAAAAGAAGGGCACAGATGGAGACCTTGGGAGGATGTGGGGTTGGTTGATTATGGTCATAATGATTCATGATCGTTTGTGTTATGACGATGAACAGGGCCATGCAGGGGGCCAAGGCACACAGCAGTGCCCCTCTCTTTCTCCAACGACATCAGGAACTTCCGCCGCGAACGATTGCTCGTTGAGCCTCGCTCATTGAGCCTCGCTGCAGCGCAACATGATCGTTCCTCAGAAACAGTGCATTTTTCTCAACCGAACCATCTGGACACAGCGAACCAAACTTCATCCTTTCAGCTCGCTGCTTACTTCAGGCTTATGTCCATCATAGTGGTGGGCTTGCCTCTGGTGTCCGATTGAACCCATATAGACCGAACCATCTTGACACCCGGCCGCCAGGCGCACGAACGCGTTCGAGACACACTTGACCGAGACACACCGAACAGCGTCAGCAAGATCAGCTATGGTCCGCTTCTTAGCTGTTCAACATTGATTCTTGATCATGGAAGTTGGTCGAACAAGCATGTTTCACACTTGCAGGCTTATGCAGGCTTGCATAGGCAGATCTTTGGATCAAAGCAGTGTGTGCAGCTACGTAACCATCGACCGGTCGTTCGACAATTCCGTTGGCGCAGGTTCCAAGCTTTGGCCAAGTCCTGCTTGGAGGCAGGTTTCTCCAGCTCGTTCCGGCGCGTACCAACACGCTTGGGGTGGACAAGCGCATAGCCGGGGGTTCTGGATTTCATTGAGATCAGATTTTGACTGATTAAAGGAAGACCCATAGTCTTTCCATGTCTTTCCATGAGTCAGACCGGTGCAGTCAGGTGTTACAGATCCTGATCCAATACTTTTCAGCTCAAAGTGTCTTTGATGTCGCTCGCATCCTTTGACCGGTCAACACCGAATCCAGGAAATGAGCCTGTTTCGGCGAAGGTACGCGCGAAGGCCACGTTCTGAAAGGTGTGGGAAGGACTAAGGTTGTTGAAGATCTTCCACAGAACTTGAAATGCCCTTGGAATGCATATAATAGACTTATTTTGTAGATCTATAGGTCAAAACCCACTTTAAAAAGACTGACGGGTCCTGAGGGCTCACATTTGGGACTTGGGGGGGTCAAGTTTGCCAAACATCTTGCGGCAAGGGTTCCAAATTCCGGTTCTTGAGTCTTATGATATAACTCCTTAAAGCCTCAACACCTTTGCACAGCTTTTTTACACCGTTGAACCTCATTGGACATATGTCAGGACCTTTGTTGTTAGGTGTTTGTTCAGGTTCAGACACATTTCCATACCCCAAACTCCCATGAATATACATTCAGCCGTTCTATTTCTTTTGAAGCAATGACATCAATTTGAAACCTATAGCCTATATATGTATATTGTTCAGAATTCTGGCCACAACTTGACAAGCAGATATGTCAAGATGTGCACTTTCTAGAATATATTGAGATTGTCCTTCATCTATCTAGGCTTCTCAGCGCTTTTCTCATGGCTTGATGAACCAAAGGATGGGCTCTCAGACCTTCAGACCATCTCAGACCTTCAGACCTGACACCAGCTGTGCTCCTCCGGTCCCGGTGTGGACGGTCTGACCGTCCAGGCAAAGTGGAAGAAAGTCGACCCCAGACCATCACAGACCTAGGCACTAATGACACACATGGGTGGTCTTGGGAGCCCTCAATGACCGAATTGGTTCTTAATCCCTTTTCTACCTATGTGCACCGGTGTGCTGGGAGCCCTTGGAACTATATTCACGAACGAGAGTGTTGGAGTTGGAGCTTTTTGAGCGTGTGATTCCGTGTGATGTATATGAGGATTGAACAAAAAACTAGGGTTTGGGTCGGTCCATTTCGGGTGAGCTCAGAATGGGAAGAGCAAGGAGGCCTACCTGGTAGACACCATAGAATTTATCCATCGCTCATATAATTTGGAGAGTTCACAACGTGTATCTCCACTTTGCTGAACTGCACCGTGAGATGATGCCGTCACAGAAAAGCAAATGCTCTCAAGTCATTGGTGGAAAAAAAAGAACGGGATGGTGCGCAAAGGCTTGGTACGGAATGGAACGGAGGCACTTGAACAAATAGACATAAAAAAAAGAAAAACATGCATTCACCGTTCACGTCGCTGCATGCGTCTGCGATCGTCTGCGTCTCGGCTTCATGGCTGGCTTGTCAAAAGTTTCCTTTACGGAGCTAGACCGAGGAGTCTGGATTTGTGGCTCCATGTGTGTCGTTGGGTGCTCCGATGATCGCTCCAAAGACCTCGGTTTATCGCATAGCCCGTTCCAGCTTGCTATCCCAAAACACGGAGGCAAGCCTGGCTTGCCCCATGGAGCCCTCCCATCGTGTTTGATCGCTCTTGAACCCACCGTGGATGATGGTTGTGATTTTTGCAAGCCAACACCGAACGACTTCTGGTGCAGGAGTGATTTTGACTTGCCGATCATGGTTCCAAACATAAACATGAACATCCCTTGATGGGACATATCAATGTCAAGTAACATGACATGTCGTTGGGTTTTTGTGTTTCTTTTTAACACCTATACAGTCCTTGCAGAGGAGCCTCTTTAAAGCGCTCGCTGTCCGCGGTCGCCGCACTTCCGGCCCTAGCCCTGGTCAAGTGATCAACCTCAACACAACCCCAACCGGACTTGGCTCAGCGACCGAGAAAGGGGGAAAACACTTGTTGGCGGCATAGACGTTTTATGATTTTAAAGAAATCCTGCAAGCTCAAAGATGGGACCTGTGAGTGCATACGAACATGTGCCAACGGCGGTGCTGGATTTCGAAGAACAGACAACACTGAGAATTGCCAGTGGTCGTTCAGAAAGCCAACACATCATCAGACTGGGTGTTTGGTCGATTTGTTTCCTGGCCTAGCCACAAGCAGCTGTGAGGGTTGAATCACAGGCAAATCTCAGATCACAGCATGATGCTTGGTCAAAACGCTTTGTTTTGGGGGAACAGGCTCCATTGAAAACAAATTTGCAGAGTAAGAAGCTCCATGCCGCGGCTGAAGCCGGGAGGTGCTGCCGGCACTTCGGACCGGTCCTAGTGAGTCCAGCGGCAGGCTTTCAGTGGTTGGTGTGTTGTGGGTCAAACATGGATCCCCTAGGGATCCAGTCGTACCTTCTCAGGTACGGCGAGCAGGGAGACACTGTGATGTAGGTGCCAGGAGGGTCCAGTCCAGTCGTACCTTCTGAGGTTCGGTACGACTGGCTCTCTAGATGAATTCACCCTAATTATACAAGTCGTCTTCGTTCATGGCACTAGGCTGACATGGCTCACCATCCAGTCTGCAATAACTATAGTTAGTGGTCGTTACATGTCGCTATTGCATGCATTTTGCTGTGAATTTCACGGATCACAGAGGAGATGTTTCACGCATCTCGTATATCAGACTCATCTCGTATAGAGTACCCCCTTCAAATTCCAACGAGCAAAGGGGTGGAGTCTCCAAATGTGAGGATGATGATCCCGAGTTTTGAATTCGTTATGCTGGTCCTGAAAGGCCTTCTTTAGGAACGACCTGGGGAGCCCCTGTTCTTTTTGGTCTTTTGATTCCGACCAAAAATGAACAGAAAACTTGAGAACCAAACACGGTCAACCTACCAGGGTGAGTTCGAGGAGGCAGGCCATTTCTTTTGGCGACACATAGGGAGGCAGGACTCGCATCAAGATGAGAATGTAGAAGGATCCGGAAATGATTTCGCTATTTCGCTAGGATGGAAATTCGAGAGGATGCCTTTGAGAGGTGACGCTTTTCCAGATCAAACGTATTTTCTAGTCAGCTGGGGTAGTCAATATGTTTGACGTGTTATTTCCATGCTGGGGTAGTCATAATATAAGGTATATCCATGTGTGTGTGTGTTCGACGTGTGTTTGTGTTCAAGGCATCGAAAAGCGTCGTAGTCAGTGCCATCAACCAGCTTCTGAAACTGGCCTGCCAGCACGAGCACGCTCCTCCTCAGCTTCCTCGAGGTGCCGCGGCTGTTTGAGGTGGTTCTTCAGATGGGAAAAAGCAAGCTCTCAAACAAGGCCTTAATCTGAGGTCCCAGTCCAAACAGATGGTTTAGGTTTAATGACGTTGTTCATGTTGCTTCTATTGATTGATGGGCTGTTATTCTTTGTCAAACACCGAAGAATATGAAGAATCCACTCAAGATGTGGATGATGTGATGCCCTTTCAAGCCTTTTCCTGCCACGACTGGCGTCAAACGATGTCAAATGGTTTTGTATGGTTTTGCAATTGTTTGTTAAAGAAGTTGGGATCGTAGCCTGAGAATCCTCCCTCAGTGGGTGCTTCATAAACTATCGCACATTTTTAGGTGTGAAGCCCTCGCACCTCTTGAAGGTGATGTGATATTAATAGGGGCGGGGGAGGCAAGATCTCCTTGGTACCGGAAAGAAGGCGCCAGTGCAGAAAAAAGCCTTGGGTGCGCACCAAGCTGTTGCAGAGAATCCCTAGAGGACCATGGAGAGTGGTGTCCCTTAAACTGGCGGACCATATTTAATAACCCTGTATAACCATGTTACATGTTCTCCATTGAATCAGGGAACCGTTATACTGAAAATAACATGAATCAACATAGATAACAACATATATAAAAATAACATCTCTATAGAAATGAGCCACGGAGGTGACCATAGTCCCAATAGGAGCAGCTGTTCATTCACGAGCTGGGCATAGTTCGATCCATTTGGCATGGGATGTGCTATTTTATAGATATGTGTGAGGAGGGTATATAACTATCCATGAGTTTCTGCACATTCTTATATATTGCATCTCAACAGTATCCCTAGTGCTCCAGATCATCTCTCACAAGGTATCCGAGATTTCAGGTTCAGAGAGTGGGTGCGGAACCAAAGTGTCCTTTTGGGGCCCAGGCACGTGCTCAGGAAGTTCTGGGTCGGATGTTTCATCGGTCTTTTTCCCGCGTGGAAGGTCATCAGCAAGGATGACTGTGGACCTCTAACCATCTCATGGCTTGCATTTCATCCATTTTGGCTCACAGGTCTCCCTCATTCAAGGGTCGGGAGGGGCCTGAAAACATGTTGAACCACTGATGAGCTGTGGAGTCCAGTGCCTACACAGTTTTCTCCAATAACATCCCGGCATGTCCGATGAGCCTGAGCCATGGGCCTTGGAAGGGATGCTGCTTTGTGCCTCGACACGCCTTCTCAGATCTAGATCCAAGAGGATAAGTAATTTTGGAGGGCCTTTCCATGAAAGAAACAGTCTGGGATCTAGCTTTGACATGAATTGAAGCGGAGGGGGATGAGAGATTGTTGGAGAGGTGGGTATTCTTGCTCACAGTCTTGGTTGCCTGGGTGGCGCTTATAGCGACCCATTGGTGGGATGGCAGTTGAACGTCCCTTGAGGTTCAAGCTGAGTGCCACTCGGGTGAATTATGTTGGCCTATCGCATCCCTTTATATGATTCTAGACGGAGGCTCTGTAGATTGATGCAAGTGTGTGAACATGACTAGGGAGCCTGAGGACAAATGGATCATTCAGTGGAGCCGGATGTGCCTGGGCATTTGCCAGTTCCAACTGTGGATGGCATCCTGTGCCTGGGCATGTGCCAGTTCCAACTGTGGATGGCATCCTGCGCCCCAATGTTCTAATCATAGGTCATTGTCGCATCCCACCCTTGGCTAAGTTCAGCGAGTGTCTTTGAAGAAGACGACGTCGCAAAGTTCGTCGCAAAGAAATTCAGGCGAGTTAAGCAGCGGACGTCCCAAATGACCTTGGTGCTTTGTCCCACGCTCCCTTGTACCGCGTACTGGCCATTGAAAGGCCCTTCGTCGTTCTTGACAGCACCTTCCCCTCGCTGGAGGGCATGGTTCATTTGCCCTCTGAAAGGCAAATTCGTTCGCGATGTGGATCAACCTCGATCGCCAATACCCACTGCCCCCCACACCCCCGTGGACACCCACAGCTTCACAGTCGCACTGCATGGGTGAGGCAAACGGCTTCTGCCTCAGCTGGTAGCAATGGCCACCTGTTGTGACTTTGATTGGGCACGTGGAAGATTTTGTTGGCGGGTGGCGTCTGTTTGTGTATCCCAGACCAGTGGGGTGGAAGAGTCTGGGCTACTATCATGGTACACGGGGCTTCCTGGCTGCAACCTGTGAAGCTTCCAACTGAAACAACCATTTGTGCAACGTGCAAACCTCGGCCTCATACTCAGGTTATGTGCCAGCAGCAACTTGGAAAACTTCGATGCCGATGCTGGTCACTGAGCTGCCGCGCCATGTGGCAGTGAAGCAAGTCTCGAGAGAGAAAGTCACAGCTTGGGTGGTGCAGCTTGAGGGTGGCTGACGGTCAGTGTGAATGGTTATAATTTGTGGTTTCAACCCCTCGTTCCTCGAGATCCACCCGGGCTGGTTTCCCGAAACCGCCGGCACGCGGCGCGTGGGACGTGTAACGTCCACCGCGTCAGGTTGAAGAGACCTCGCCTGGCGAGTTCGAGCTCCGTGCCAGTGCCAGGTGGGTTGAGTGGAAAGATGTGGAAACGACCAATTTGATGAAGATGCTGTAACAAGACTCTCGACAAGGGGTGGTGTTTGGGGGACAGCAGTTGTTCGGGGCTGTTTTGTCTCAAGCGGACATCAACATGTTGACGTCCAAGATTTTGGAGGCCTAAGGTGCTCAGAGTTGCTACTGCAATACGCTGCTATGGCCAACTCATCGGATCGTGGTCCAGATATATCAGGATGGTCCATACCATGTATGGCTACATTTACCTATGTTACATTGGAATGGTTCCAGGGGTCAATGTAAGCACAAATTCGATAATTGTTTCGTTTAGGATATTGGTGATCGTGATCAACGTCCCTTTTCTCCAACTCAGAGGCATGCATCAAATATGAGTGAGGGTTTGATGGCTTTGAGTGAACATTTGACCAAGCGAACACATGGTATAGCTCCTACCGCCCTACCTGGCCAGTTTGGCCATGGGTCATTGGAAGAACCTTTAAAAATCTCCCGTCAATGGTAGAAACAGTACAAAAGTACAAGCGTTTCGATTGTAAGATTCCGATGAGGCCTCTCTACTGTTGTTTTCGGCGACAGGTTTGCGGAATCAACCACAAGGGTGCATAATCCTTATCAAAATCTATCTATTTAACATTTTGTTTTTTAAATCGGCGACAGGTTTGCGGAATCAACCACAAGGGTGCATAATCCTTATCAAAATTTATCTATTTAACATTTTGTTTTTTAAATCTATTTAACTATCTATATCGATATGTATATATATGTTTGTTTGTATTTATTTTTATCTTTTCTATATCTGTCTATCTATTTATCTATCTGTCTTTCTATCTATCTATCTATCTATGTATCGATCTATTTATCTACCTATCTGTCTTTATATCTATCTATCTAACTATCTATCTATCTAACTATCTATCTAGATCTATCTAGATATATATGTATATCTATATCTATCGTTCTATCTATCTATCTACCTATCTGTCTATCTATCTATCTAACTATCTATCTATCTATCTATCTATTTGTCTGTCTATCTGTCTATCCGTCTATCTATCTATCTAACAATTTTTTATATGTTCATTTATTTTTTTCATGTATACTAGTATACCTATAAGTATTCAGGTAGTTTGGTTGGTGCATGTGTATCTCCCCAAGGTTGTTTCATTCGTGGTGCCAGCTGTTCATTGACTATGTGGTACTGACGCACCTATGGCCAATTCGGTGTTTACCCTTTGTGACAAATCCGTGCTTGTCAGGCGATGAGAGCGCCAAGAAAGAAAAATCCGTGGAGGCCCCGCGACCGCCAGACATGGTGATTGATCCGAAGCTTAAGCTAACTGCCATAAAATCCCTTGAACCAAATGCGTCGCCAGTCAATTTCCTGTTGATGTTTGGGTTTGGTATGTTGAAACTAAGAATTTGGTGTTTTTGTCAGTGTATCTCAAGAAGCTGCAAGAGAAAGTGCGCATACCTACCTTTGAGCAATACCGATGTGATGTAGACTTGGACTGTTGTGTTCTTTCGAAGTTGGAACTTTAATCTAACAAATTTTCACTGGTTCCAATTTGGATTGAATCCTACTTTTGTTTGGACACATTACTCGCAAAACATGTTTGTCGCAACCTGATGGTTGCACTTCTACAAGATCCACTTGTGCAGAGAGACACACGAATGAAACTGCAAGCTTTGAGACACCACTACCACACATTGTTGACACTATAGTGACATCATGGAATGCTAGACTTTCCAACACAGGACTCTGACTGTGGACACATGACCCCAGGGTCTTCTCGGCCTCGGGTCGGCAGACTAACGAGTCGATTTGCTTCGACTTGTTCAAGGCAGTGTGAAAAGGAAAACCCTTGAAAGAGCCATGGAATACCGTGCGTGGATGGGAAAACGGCCTCCGATTTCAGATGACCATGAAAGAAGACCCAATAGGGTGTTTTCTACTTCAAGGATGCTTTCAGTGATAATTTCGGGGAGTGTACATCTTATATCATCTCATACAACAATTGTTTTCCAATTTTCTTCTGGTGTTCCTTTTCGTGAAGAGACCCATCCTCTGCAGTTGGTCGGGAGGTCCCGTTTCCACCTCCCCACATTGAAACAATCACAGAAGGGCGCTGCTGACAGCTGGAGGAGATGATCGAAGATGAAGACTTGGAGGACCCAAACGAACGACCTGACACTCGGGACTGGAAGCGATTGCAACAGTCCCATGGATGGTTTGGGGAATGCACGCAACAGCGGCAACAGCGGAGACCAAGCCCCTTAAACTGAACTCCTGTATGCGGCGTTGTGTTTCACGGAGACCAAGTGGTTGATTACGGATGGACGTTGAATTGTGGTGCACGAGTTGAAGGCAAAAACCTATATACACTCCTACAGCGGCATATCAGGTCCCACAGTCGGGGTATGTCCGGGTGGTTCATGGGCATCCCTTAATCTCTATAATTAAGGGTCTAATAGGCACCCAGCACCCAGCCCAGTGCAGGTTTGCTGATCTACTCGTGTTTATACGTTTCATCAAATTTCAATCCACCTGCGCTCGCAAACCTGGCCCGCCCTTGGAATGACCACCACGTGTTTTTGGACTCGGCTTTGAGGTGCCGTCCGAGGTGATGCTGGATCGGTCTCAGACCATCTCAGGTTCCTATCATATCTATCATTCTTAGATCGAGATTCATGTTGGTGTTCTTGCTTTATTTCAGGTGACTTTTCCAGTCAATTTCCAGCCGCTGGGCTAGCAGGTGCGGTTGTCCTCTTTGGCCCGGAGTCGACTCCCTCTTCACCAGTTCGGCCCGAGGACGTGTCGATGGTGAACATGTCGGAACACCACCACACAGACACTATACATTACTTTGCATTCAATACCCTGAGGATCGAAAGTTAGCTCTCTTCGCTCTCCGACCTCACCCTGTGTATGTATATTGTACATTATTATACATGGGGTGTGTGTGTGTGTGTCGTATTTTTTCACGCGGGTCAAATGACCTGTACATGTCAATGATTCCAGTCCCATCAAAGTCGTGTGTATAACATCTAATATTACATCTATACCATGAATCCCCTCAGTCGGACCACCGGAAACTCCATGCAGCCTGACCACCCCGAACCTCGCTGGAGCCGTCCTTCGCTCTTCGGCCATAGGACACGGACGAGGACAGCGACCACGGCCTCGTGGACGACGGGTCCTCGGACGACTCGGAGGACGATGCCCCACGGAACCGGAGCCTTGGACGCGGAAGTGGGAGAACTGATGAACTGCGAAGATGGGAATCCGAGTACACTGCAAATAGTAGAATGGAATCAGTATCCTGTAGAATATCATAATCGGTTGCAAACACCTCTTTTCCTTCCTTAGTCAAAAACATGAAAGGACAGGGCCTGGACCAGCCCTCCTGTTTCAGGTTGTCCTGTGTGTTTTCGTCCCGGATGGACGGAGAGCAAAAAGGAGAGTCGCGTATACCATCGCTTGCCTATGAGTCAAAGAAAGGGCTTGTTGCTTTCCGGTGTTAATGGTGGGTGGCAACCCACAAAGATGTTAACAACAAACCTCTTGGAGCCAGATCGTCAGGGGCTTGATGTTAGTTTTGAGACGTTTCGAGATTACAGCCAGGTGGCCAGGTGTGATATAGTGTTTTCATGTGTTTTCATACATATCAAATATAATCCTGGTGATTGACCTTGGGTGTCAGTAGCAAGCAGGGATGTCATGATCTAATTTCCTGGAGAAGCTAAGATGGCGTGGGTAGGCGTTGCCTCGGCGGCCATCCACACGGTGGGACACCAAGGTGCCACCAAGGCACGTGCCATGGTGTTTTACGGAAACACTTCGGGTTTGATGGTCGATCCATCGAGATGCTCAATATCATATCCACGGAAAAGACAACGGAAGCGAGAGACAGACCAACACCGACTTTTGATGGTTTTGGTTTTGTTTTGAGTTTTGAAGTATACTCTTTGATTCCATGTCCTTCGAAGTGCAAAACCCACTCTGACAGAAGGGGGCACACCTTGTGCACCCAGGCGCCACGCCACCTCCACCGTTTAGTGAGTCGTATAGTCTTCGTCTAAGGCGCTGCAAGTTCTACTGATGCGTTCTGCAGAGATACCTTTGCTCCCCATGGCTCAGGATTGGCAATGTACCTTTGGAATGGTGCGACCACCTCCGTTTTCCGACCGACCAGGCTGCGAATCCTCACTCCCCGGGTGCAGCGTTGACGATTTGGGACGTCGATTCGGTTCATGTTCCGTGGGAAAACCAGGGTTCGAATCCATGACCCACGGACAAATGATTGTGTGCTGCCTGTGGTGAACCTCAGAGATTGACGGGACTGCTCCTTTTTGTTCTTCTGCTGAGGAGGGCACTGGGCATGGGCATAGATGTTGATATGCATACAGTAATAGACAATAGGACCAAGTTTGGGTATTTGATGGTATTTTTGGTTTGCATTCTCCAATGGGGGAATGAGCACACAAGCAACTGCAGGGTTGGAGCACCTTGGAGTGTGTTTTCGGTCTTTTTGTGTCATCTTCCTCGCCAAATCACCCAGAAGGACCTGAATAGTTCGTGACCGCCCTTGAGATCTCAGGATGAGGTGACTTAGGTCCCGAACTCTCAGGTCACAAACAGACACTCCACAGAGGTCACGCAGAGGTCTAACCTCGGCCAACGGTCGCACTCGCTCTTCTCCACATCCCCTCGAGTTGGGTGGTCATTGTCGTGTGAACTGTGAAAAACAAAAGAACAAGGGACTTACCGCGGTCTTCACGGTCCCCGCAGTCTTTTTGCGGTCTGACTTGATGCGTTTGATATCACGTAGTAAGCGGGAGGCTTTTCTCTCTCCACAGTCGATGGCGCCGTTGCGGTGACAACTTGAGTGCAAACGCCGTCAGGTACAAAGACGAAGATCATGTCGGTTACGATATCGCTGGAGAGAAGATCATGAGGAGCTCGTATGCTTCGACGCTGGCGACGCGGGCTTTTTTTGGCCAGGCTTTTTAGGTCCGACTTCAGATCAGGGAGATGGCAGGGATGTCACACTTCCCTGACAAGAACCAAACCTCCTCAATGTCATGAGCTTCATCATCCGATAATGTGCAGCACCGCGCGAAGTGTTTGAGGCTCGGAAAGGGTCAGGAAAAAGAACTGCAGCCCACCACTGGAACTTCAGCTTCAGGCTTCAGGGGAAAATGCGGAGCTACACAGTTTTTGTTCAATGTTTGATTGTTCCGGTTTGTTCAGCTGCAGTGTTGGTGTACTAGCCCCAGGCCCTGCAGGCGCAGTCGCAGGCTACGCGGCGACGTCGGAGGTCTCCGGGTGTTTCAGCAGCAACGTCTCTAGGACGCTCTCCACCAGTGAAATCAATGCGCTCTTGGAGAGCAAGGACCAGCAAGATGTGGCTGTTTTGGGGGGCATATCGGGTTGCTGGCAGAAAGGACAAATTTCGCACGAACCTCTGAACAATGGCTGTTTTTTGGTAGCCAAAGTGATGGATCTCTACCTTTCAGCGTTTAATGTACAATAGAGGATTCATCATGTGATTGTAGCTTCTTGACCCGGGATGTCATGCACTTTGTCACTCCAGAAAACAAGACTGGAAGTAGAGTCAGGACTAATTAATATTATAGATACAGTCAATTAGTCCTGATGGTGAATTAGTCCTGACTCTACTGAGGGGCCCGAGGGGCTTGTTTTGAGACATCGCCACCAGCAAGTGTATCGTTTGGGCAGTTCCTCATGTTGGCAGCATTGCAGTTTGCACATCTGCGACAGGTGCTGCAGACAGTCTCATTTGCAACAGTTGGTGCTCATTGCAGACTCTTTCAGTACGACATATATTGTAGCTCTTCAACAAATGATATATTCATGCCTGCATGCACCCAGGATTCCCAGAGCATTCAATCATGTCAATGTGACTTCGATTTGTTTGGCGCTGGTATTCCTGACGCTTCGCGTCGACCGCCGCCCACACCTTCTTTTTTTTTCGGTCGCCTGGGGAAAGACTGCTGGAGTGGACAGGGGAGGTCGGGAGTGGTGTCCAAAGAGATGGCTTGTTTGCCGCAGCATTTTGGTAGACCAGAGGGTGTAGAGGACACAGTGTGGACGCAGCTTTACCATCGGCCAAGTTCGACCGTTTTGTGGCCTTGCCCCCGCTTGGTTAGTCCACATTACATCATGTCAAGGCTAGCTTGATCGTTTGGTGACCATGTGTTGAGGCTACGTTGTTTTTTTTGCAAAAATGCTGGTTATGCGTTGCTGGTCAGGAGGGTTTTTAAGCATCGTGGGTGCCCGTTTTTTGGGTTGTTTGGGTTGTTGCAGAAATGTCGCAACGAAGCCCCCAAAAAATAATCCAACAATGTACCTCCAAAACGCTCTCCCCCATGGCCCTCGAGGCGTAAGACGTTTTTCCCCGAAAAAAGGGTCCCCCCCTAGCAGAGCTATATGAACTGATTACGATGTGATGATGACGATGATTCCAGCTTGACCCGCCCCTAACACGCCCTGCACCGCAAGCGGTGTGGGCGGATTTTGTTATGCCAAGGGGCTCCAAGTTGCCGTTGGTTGCTGAAAATCAAGGGACAAAAAGCGTTCGGTTATGTCCTGTCCAGAAACCTGGAAGATCTCGAACCTAAGTGTTCCTGATTCCGGAACGAACGGTGGGATCCATTTGTGAATGATATGTCAATGTGAGTTTTCTTGGGCTAAGATGATTTTTGGGGCAGCTGCGTGTTCCAAGACGCCAATTATTGATGCTCTCTCATTTGTCTTTGGGTCACTTTCACCAGAGGCCGTTTCACCATGGTGCCGCGTGCCCATGTTTGGTCGTCTATTCTGCTCATTCTCCGTGGGAAAAAAACCAGGGTCCCGCACGGCATTTCATGGTTGCAGGACAACCCCGATGCCTGGCGCACGATCAAAGATCATAAGAACCAGCGTGAGGTTCGGGTGACCATCGCAGGTTCTCCCGGTCGTGGACTGACTTTGGTGGAAACGTTCAAACCTATCATCAAGTGGCGTTTGCGGCTCGCGGACCATCGACGTTCGATGTTGGACAGGTTGAAACCGTTTGAACAGTTTTTGTGGAGAACATTTTAAAGAAAAGAGGTTTGCCGGTTTGCCAGAGTTTTGGTCGATGTTTGTGGGTCCGATGTTTTTCTCGGATCGTTTGAAATCCTTCTCGGAGTCGCAGTCCGTGGAGAAGGATTCATCAAAAGATGGCTGGCACAAAGGCCTTGCTGACATTTTCGGACCTTAAATCTCTGAAAATGAAAGACACACGCCTCACCTATCTCACCTAGACCCGCCATGTAGTGAAGTCTTCCTGGGAAATTAGAAGGCTTGCGGCTTCCGGTTTTGACACCACAACTACATAGGACTACCATTCAAGCATCAGGAAGTATTAGACGACCAGATGCTGCAGCATTCAATCATCCAGAGGTCCAGAAGTAGAAGGACCAAAACTTGCAGCTTCCAAGCAGATTTAGATCAAAGATGTTCAAAACACTTGTTCTGTTCTTTGCTATTCAGGATGACCGGAAAGCACCGGCTCTTCTCGCCAACCCGGTCAGTCATATTATACCCAATGTAGGCGCTCGAGTCGAGACCCCTCCAAAAAACTGAAGACGTCAGGTGGTCTTGACGGAGACCGATTTGGAGGTGATCCGAAGGATTCGTGAGAGGACCGAACTTGCAGGGGTGGACTCGACCGTGCGGGTAGGGGGTCCACGCTGCTGAAGCGCTGAAGACCTTCGCGACCTTAACCGAGAGCCGAGCGGGTAGGGGGTCAACGCTGCCCTGGCTGAAGACCTTCGCGACCTCATGAGGTGGAGAATATGAGTCTGAGAATTCATGTGTGACGATGTGAGGGAAACTGCAGGACCGGGTAGGACCGAAGCTTGTGAACGGGGACGGTTTTTGTTGATGCTATAGCACGGTTTGAGGGCGCGAGGTCTCCTGGGTGCCCTCTGGGGTGCCCCTGGTTTGTGTTCAATTCGTCCTTAAAGGATCCCATGATGTTGCTAACTCAACATTAATTGGTCTCAGACCCTTCGGCGATTTGGACCACAACGGATGAGATTGGGTCCAAGGAAGCAGTAAAGCAGTAAAGCACACCTGCTGAGAAGGATCATATCATATGTGTTGTAACGTTTCCTTTAAGTGTTGCGGAATGTGTTGCTTTTTGTTTTTGTTATAACACACGCATAATCATAAAGTTTAAATGTTTGTGCTATCAACATACTATCAACATACTATACTGTATTGATTGGTGTTTTTCCTGTGCATAGGGGCATAGCAAGTTCAAATCCAGCTACGTTAGTGTTGGGAAAACACACACATTGGGGGACAGGACATGGTTGCACTCCCAAGAGGGTGGGACATGATATGAAGGTTTGCTCCCTGTAGGTCACATAACATTCGATCATCTCCCCAGCTCAGATGTGGTCCCTGCCCTCCCCAAAACGAAACCCCCAAACTACTCCCCCCAACTACCCCCCAAAAATACATAAAACAAAACACGCCTCACATGCCAAACCGTCCCTCAACGAAGACATGTTTTTGTCCACGATCCCACGATGCCGCGATCCCGCATGCCCCTCCCCCAAAAAAGGATGACTCCGCGGCGACACGAGACGCCTGTGATTGGACCTCTGAAAACCACCCCAACCAGGACCATCCAACCAACCAGGACCGTCGCTGGACTACCCAGCCTATCCGGTCTGGACTCCCGAACACACCCAGGTCGTTTGATGGAAGTGATTTGGTCCATACCGGCCCATACGTATCGGTGGTGTTTGGGAGAGGATGTATCCCAGCCTCGCGACGGATACCACGGAGATGGTGGAGTTCGAGAACCCCGAGGCGCTTAGACCGACCCCCGGGTGGGAAGCAGCGGGGCCCGGCGAGCAGCAGGGCCCTGCGAACAGCACGATGTGAAGTAAAGGTAATCTGTAAGATTTCTGGTTTAAAAATATGTTTGTTCTAATTTAGATTGAGCATGTCATTTCGGTTGAAAGATTCTATCAACAATTCAATGTTGTTATTGTGTCACAGGGTCACCAGCACTTTCGTGGCACTGATGCTCCTGCCATTGCTATGTCCTGGTGCTCTCTCAGCACCATGCATTGTTGGGCTGATGCTCTCGAAGCATCAGGTTCTGAACATTAATATAAACAATTTATGATTTCTCTGTCTAGTCACAATCTAAGTGTCCCAAGTAACAATCAGCCTGGAACAAATAAAGTTGTGCCACTCTTCAAGCAATGAGTTTGTCGAAAAAACACTAGATAGGAGAGAAAAAGGAAAACAATTACACTTTTTCAGTGCCCGAAAGGAAAGGACGCTTTTTGTTCAGTGCCACAAAAGTAAAAAGACACTTTTTCAAGACTTAAGATAGATAGATAGACACAACTATAGAATCCCCCTGATTTTGGTACCCAAGTACACCTATCCACAGAAACAAATGTTCCCAACACATGTTATTGACTCATCCACTCGTGCTTATAAGCACCAGCAAACTTATATAACATCACAAAGCCTGAAATCGTTGGAAGACACAGAATCAATATGACGCCAAAGGGGTTCGTGATACAGTCCTTCCTGCAGCTGGTTGAGCAAGAACTCTGGGACAATGCATGGGTTTAGGGCTAGGGACTTGGACTGGAATGATCAATTCATGATCCACAAGTAAGAGTACCACAGTACATCTATACTCTTATACTAGACTATATACTGTATTCTAATAGACAATGAGTGAACTTAAAATAAATAGAGAAGCTCTTATAGTGAACCGTGGTCATCTCAAGTTCATGAATCCGCCATCGATTCGCAAAACACTGTCACCGCTTCCTCCGTCCGCGTGCGTCCCCGGTCAGGCACGCATCCACCCGGAGGGCAAAGCGCATCCTCCGAAGTCCCGGTTCTTGCCGTCGAAGTGGGAGCGCATGAAGGCCAGCGGCGGCGGAGACCAAAAACACAGCAGACGAGTCCTCGAGTCTGTGGTTTTTTTCTTGTCACAGCCAGCGCACACATGAACCCCCAGCTGGATGATCAGGGTGCCGTTGTTGCTGTATTTGTTGGAGGCAAATGAGGACTCATGTCGTTTGAGCAGAACTAGTCATTTGTTTCTTCCACTTTTTTCATCAGTCCACTTTTGAGATTTTTGAGGGTTTTGCGGTTTGTTGTTTGTTTTGGCTTTGTTGAGATTTCGGAGTAGGTTTCCACCGTGCCCCTACCCTGACCATTCATTGCAGTGGAATACTTACTTACTACATACGTAGTATAGATCATAATAGATATTTAGATTGTTTAAACATTTAGCTAACTCTTCCAAAGCCAGGAGGCTAAACAACCGAAAAGACTTCGCAGCTGAGATCTCGTTGCGTGGTCTTTGTCTGAAGGTTTGTGGCCAAACTACCCAATCCAGAGCCTTGTCATGTTGGCTTTTTATCGATGGATCCAGTGCAAACTGGACATGGGGAAACAATATTGGGGAAACAAGAATGGCGAAACATTGGGTGTCTCCATGGTTCAGCAGCCATGGGCCATGGGCCATGATCTACAATATACACTCAAATGATGGTTCTATTTTTTGGATGAGACCGCAATGGTCAGGGTGGCCCTGACGGCTTGTTCCCTGAGGGCGCTTCGGACGTTTTTTTTCAGGTCAAGCGCTTGGTGTCGTTGCTGCGCCAAGGAAAGATCAGGCAGGGTGCGGATGGAAGCGATGGATGCCAGATGTTTTGTGAGCCAAACTCAAAAACTGGCCATATGCCATAGACATCCATATAGACCAGAGAGGAACTTGAAGACTTTACCGGGCTGAAGTCCTGCTTTTGAACACAAGTCCTCAAGGTCTTTGGTTTCTTGGGATCAAAGAGTTGTGAAATGTGCGCCATCCACGCTGATATGTTCCAAGACTTGTCTAAAACATTTTAAGATGTTTGACCAATCTTCATCGCCCATCAGCATTGGGTGGGATCAACTCTGTTGTTTGGTAATGTTTCCCTCGTAAAACGTGGATATCCCAGGCAGAGAGCGGAAGGGAAGGAAGGACAACAATTGACTGGGAGAACCATTAGATGAAGTTCTACATCTGGCCAAATAAATTGTACGTAGCCTTTAGGGTATATCCATGTTTTGAGTCCACATGAGCTTTAGAGGGGCTAGCGATACTTTCACCCAGTAAAACCTGCAATTTTTGTTGGACAGGACAGTTTCGTTCATCTCTATCAGAGCTTAGAACCATCCGGTGTGTCATGGCGTGTCCAAATCAATATTCCAACTCAGCTTCTTCGAATCGGTATCGGATGGTATTTGTTGTCTTTCGTTGTAAAAGGTCCGGCCTTTGGGGAGTTTTGGTGTTTTGGCTCAAGCTTCCACTAGACAATATGGGCTGCGGTGGGAGTGTGACTGCCAAGGTGCCGGGGAAGGGCGAGGCAGGCGTAGAGGCGAGACGCTTCCATGATAGTTGAATCAGAAGTGGTTACACTATGTGACATTAAGCGCTTTTCGACAGATTTGGCAGCTTTGTTGTTTTTGGTCGTTGTTCCTTCATTGTGTTACTATTTTTCTTATTTACTAGATTCTACTTGTATGTTTTGTTGTTCTTCCTTTTTCCTCGTGTTGTCCTTCTGGTAGTCGTTGCCGTTGTTGCTGGTTTTGCTGTTGTTGTTGTGGTGATGGTAGAGACGGTAAACAGGGCCCCTGTGGAAGATACAGGCTTGAGAGCAGCTCACCTAAGTGTAGTCAAACTTGGATGTATAGATAGTAGTTTGAAGCAGGCAGCCTGAGGAGGCATCCAAGCCAAGCTGTGTGGATTGTTTGTTTGCTTCTAGCCGTCCGCAAATGGATGCATGTGAAGCAGGTGATTTGGGCCCCACATCACAAACAGATTGGCTCACGCCACAACCCCAAGGCAGATTTGGCTCATCGGACGTCCTTTTCGGACAGGAAGTGTGTACTCACCTCCGTTCGACTATCAAGTACCTCCGTTCACATGAGGAGACACCCAGGAGCTTCCAAAGTCCCACCGACCGAACAGGCCTCGAATGGCCTGGGGGATGAGTGACCGAACGCACCCGGGGAATCAAGTTCGGTCACGAGTTCGGAAGATCCAGCACATGGCCCCTGGGTCGGCTCGCCCTGGACCAGTCTTTCATCGATCCGGTTTCGACGGGTCGAGTCGAACGTCAGGTTCGGTCGGACAAAGCCCAGAACCCATGGCCAGACCCCACGGCTTCCGATCGTTGTAGGTCAAAGCCTGGAGACCCGAACCATGGGTTGACCTCCTCAGTCGAACGGGTCGGGACGTGGATGTCGACGAGAGCAGCACCCGAAACGGTTTGAGTCTCGTCTTCGAACGAAGAAAGGCTCGGCTTGGCTAAGCCACGCGGCTTTCGGCCCAGCTGGAAAGATGATACCCCCTTGCGGCAGGTGGATCAATTGAGGGGACAACCCGGTCGTGAACAGTACGAACCCGGATCATTAGGGATCCAAGTACCTCCTCAGAAGGTACGACTGGACCCTCCTGGCACCTACATAACAGTGTCTCCGTCCTCACCGTACCTGAGAAGGTACGACTGGATCCCTAGGGTGAATCGACCCCTCTTCAGATGATTCGCGAAAAGGGTCTTGCTCGAGGTGGCTCCGGACTTTGACGATGTCATCCGAGCCAAGTGCACCACCGGCCAGACCATGCTCCCGGTACTTGGTCTGAAGGCGTATGAAGGCGTAGGTTGTTGGGGCACTTGATGCTGGATCCATGGTTCCAAAGACTTAAGATAATAACCTTGAGCTCAATCTCTGTGTTTTGGTATCAAAGACTATGATAACAACCTATAGAGTGAGAATCCCTGATCCTTTGCAAGGTATTGTATGGAACCCAAAGGTCATAGTTTAGAGGTTCCCCCACAAAGAGTTAACCACGATATATACCACGAGACTTGATTTTTGCATGCCGTTGCTACGGATTTCAAAGCTGGCCTGGCCGGTCTTCCCTTGTGGTGTCTAGAGGTTGGAGAAAAACACTGGTGTACTGTCGCCACTTGATGTGCGGATTTTTACCACCCCAAATCAAGAATCCAACGATCCAATGGCGACCCAACATATCCCAAACATCGATCATCATCGCACCCATGGGACCTGGGACCCATCCTAAAACGAATTATCACCCTTACCATTGGGAAGATCTACTATAATAAGGCTCCATGCATGCGGTCTGGCCTTGTTGAAACTCCACCGACCGAGTCGTCCTGGACTGTCGCGCCATGACCGAGGTACTTTCTTCTTCCATGCGCCCGGACAGATGTCGTGTCATCCACGTGCCCGATGGAGTCAATCTCCCTCCTGGCAAATATGACCCGCCGACGGTTGTCGTCACGGTCGTCACGTTCGACGCGAGGGACGTCGCGTCGGCCGACTGGACACTCCGAGAAGCTGGGCCTCCAGGTCTACGTCCACCCTAGTAGCTGCTTGTTAGTAGCGATGGCCTCCAACCTACAGTAGTGTTACTAGTAAGGCCAGGAGCTACGTTCGTAGCTTCTTGCTCCTGGTAGCGATGCAGTTGTTATTCCTATAATGGTCCCCAAAGAGTATTCGCACGGTCTTCCAAGACATTTTTAGTGTTTACTGTTCTATCTATTTGGGGTCTATATACCTGTTCTAAGGAGGTGGGCCCCGTGGGCCTGGGCGACGCTCTATAGGGGTGCAACAGTGGGTGCAACACCTGGCCTCGAAGATGGTCGCTCCCGATCCAATCAGGGGTCACATGGGTTGAAAGACGCCAGAACAGCCGCGCACTCGCCGTAAAGACCATGGGTCACGTGCAAAAGGCCAAACCATGAACTCCATCCCGCAACCTGCCATCCCATACCAGTGCCCAAATGATCCCAAATGTAAAGATCCTGGTGAAAAAACTAGACGACGAGTGGCCCGAAAGCATTTTTCATCACGTAGGAAGTCAGACTGCGAGTTATCCGGTAAGTGTGCAGTGAGAAGTGTGAAGTCGAGTGAGTTGAGGTAGTGTGTGGGTTTCTGTGCGTGTGTCTATGTCCGTGTGGAAATGAGTCTGCGTATGTGTGTGTTCGTGTAAGTTGAGGGAGTGTGTGGGTGTCTGTGTGTGATGCGGCCTCCCAAACCCCCCACCGGTGGCCAAGCGGTGACAGCCCAGCTCATCGTCGTGAGCATTTGGGCTGCTGGTAAGGGGACAATGGCAGCCAGCGTGCTGGCTTACCCACTTCAACTATGATGGCAGCCAGCGTGCTGGCTTACCCACTTCAACTATGATGGCAAACAGCGTGCTGGCTTACCCACTTCAACTATGATGGTAGCCAGCGTGCTAGCTCATACACACTTCAACTATGATGGCAGCCAGCGTGCTGGCTTTGCCATCTGGACAATAGCGGCCAGCGTGCTGGCTTACCCACTTCAACTATGATGCTAGCCAGCGTGCTGGCTTTGCCATCTCAACAAGGGCAGCCAGCGTGCTGGCTTACCCACTTCAACTATGATGGTAGCCAACGTGCTGGCTTTCCATCTGGACAATGGCAGCCAGCAAGCTGGCTTCCACTGCCTGTTGTCAGCCAGCAAGCTGGCTTCCACTGCCTGTTGTCAAAGGCACGTGTTAGTTGTACTACCAAGTCGCCAGTTCTCATCTTCCAGCTCCCCAGCTACTCCGCGCACTACAGTTATATACTACACCGTCGCCAGTTCGCAGCTACTACCCACTCGCCAGTTCTCCTCTTCCCATTTCCCAGCTACTCTCCACACTAAAGTTGTACTACCCAGTCGCCAGTTCTCATCTTCCCAGTCCCCAGCTACTTTGCGTACTAAAGTTGTACTACCAGGTCGCCAGTTCTCATCTTCCAGCTCCCCACCTACTCCGCATACTAAGGTTGTACTACACAGTCACCAGTTCTCAGCTACTACCCACTCACCAGTTCTCATCTTCCCACTCCCCAGCTACTCTGCATACTACTGTTGTACTACCAAGTCGCCACTGCTCATCTTCCAGCTCCCCCGCGACTCCGCGCACTACTAAAGTTGTACTACACAGTCGCCAGTTCTCAGCTGCTACCCACTCACCAGTTCTCATCTTCCCACTCCCCAGCTACTCTGCG